TATTCCCAACAAAAACTTTCCTTAACTTTTTATGAAATATACGAAACCTTAATAAAAACTTTCCAACTCTTTTACTTAAGTGTACAAGCATATGGTAAGGGTTCGGAAAGTTACTAGGGTAAATATGGAAGTTTTTGCCTTTTGCAGAGATAGTTACATTGTGCTGTCTACAAAATACCAAAACTTTGGGCACGAAAGATGACTTTTATCGCAGCATTGCATGAATTAAAGTTAAGGGATTGATATAAGATGTGAAGGCGTAACTCTATTCCTTTTCAGTTGGGGTGATCTTCAACAATATGCGCGACAAAAGAAAAACCGTACGTACATTTTAAAACCGGATACGGGCTGCCAGGGCAAAGGAATTTGGATCACGAAGACCCCTCGTGAGATCAAGGCAACAGAGAACCTCATTTGCCAGACATATATCAGTCGTGTAAGATTAAAAACAGGGAGCTTTTGAAGTGTTTTAATGAGCCTGTGAGACTGTTAATTGCATTCAACCAATGGCTACTTTATTCATCAATTACCTTCAGCGAAATCTCACTATTTTTGGGATCTAGAATTGGAAACCACCTTTTATAAACCGCATTCCATCATTGCCATTTATTACTGGACTATTTTGGGCAGAGTAGGTTTGTATTTCTTTATAACTTTCAATCATAACCTGTTCCACATGCTATACCACGGCTGAGAATGCTGAGATCGCTCCGCAATTTCACTGAAGTAAGCTACAAGCCTTTCTCCAGTCTCACCAAACAATAGATGGGCTTAATTAAAACCATAGCGCCTTATAATTATAAATGAACCGCCCATTTTGTTTTTCGTCTTAGCAATCTTATAGTACCTCTTTTTAGGTTTAAACTTTGTTTAGCAAAGACATACACTCTGAGGGGGCGTGGTCTTTGAGAGCAAAGTAGCGTCTTCCTAATCCTATGATTACCGACGCAACTTGGTGATGATATGTTTTATTCTCTCAGCCCTTTTTAATAGACGGTTTCAAGTTTGACCTACGACTATACGTACTGGTAACGTCGATAGTGCCGCTGAGAGTGTTCATGTTCAAGGACGGCTTGGCGCGATTCACTACACAGCCTTACCGAGAGCCCACAGCGGCAAACGTGGGAAACGTTTTTATGCATCTTACCAACTACGCCATCCAGAAGCATTCCAATAATTTTGTTCGTGAGGACGAAGAGGCTGGTACCAAGCGGCGTATCACCACCGTCAACTGCTGGCTCATTGAGCACGGCTACGACGTCGATAAGGTTCGCCCGACTTGTTAGTTCTTCCACACTCACTCATCACAAAATTGCACTTAACCACAAGTGTCTGTCAAATTATTTTGAGTAAGCAAGAATTGAAGTCCAGAACCAGTTATGACTCTAACTTTAAGTAAACGGCTATCAGCAGCGACTTACTCACTCCCCTGTGACAGTTTTAGCCCATAGGATGATATTTTAACATCCATTTCAGGGAAATGTAATTCAGAATGGAATGAATGAATGAATGCTGCGTAATGTTATCTGTGAGACATAAAATCACAACAGCTCCAAGTGGAAAACTGCGGGACTAAATTCAAGTATTATTTTTCTTTATTAACAACAATAGCAAAAATTGTTTTGACTAAAAATGACTGTTCCTTTATTACGTGTTGCAAGACTGATCTAAGTTAACTCGAATCGCGTTTACAGATCTGGCACGACATTGACGACGTGATCCTCAAGGTACTGATGTCAGGCTTACCCGTGTTAAGGCACAACTACAGGACCTGCTTTCCCAACCACATCGAGACATCCGCATGCTTTGAAATCCTCGGTTTCGACATCATGCTTGATCGTAAAATGCGACCATATGTCATTGAAGTAGGTACCTCCATTTGCATATAACACACACATGCTTTCAATCATTTAATTTGAGGGGTGACTGAATTGTTTTTAGCGTTAGGCAAAGCATCTAGTCGCCCGATGTCGTTTGAACACAATCTGGCCAGGGTAATTGGTCCTGATTAAGGGCGATAGAGACGCTTAAGGCGGGTCTTAAGTTACTCAAATGAGAGACAAAATGATTCATGATGATCTGGAACTAGATGGCTAGTCATTCAAAAGGAACGTTTAGCACATTTTGTCACGGAATTGCAAGGCATAATTAGGATCGGTCAGGGTATATGATGACTTTTCCAGGCTACCTCCAACTTCATCTACGAAGTAATGTTTAATAACTTTCTGATGCCGCATTTTATCACAGTAATGTTGAGGAGAGGGTTTTCACGCTCTTCTAAGGGGGATGACAAGAACGACTTCCTCTTTGAGATCAAAGCAACTAATGTTCCTATGATTAACCAATTTCAAGGCATTAAAAAGACGAAAGAGTAGAAAATCCAACTGTCTTTGTCAATAAGCCTTTGTGTAAATAGGCAGTCAGAGCCACGTGTTGTCTTTAAAGTAATTAGGCAATGATGGTGATGTGGATTGGTTTATTTAATGAAAGTGGTTGGGAAAACGGCATAACATATGCGACGTCAAATCGTGGCATCTTCCTCCATTAATTACCGCTATGCGGAACTTCCACTTAGAACCCTACATCAAAACAAAATCTACCTTTCTGACAAAACAGTGGATCAGCACCAATTGATTAGGGTTCTATTGATGGCACTAAGTAGTTACTCGATAGGCCTTCTTGAAAAAGTACGTTCAAACCATCCTTACAACAATGGATCATGGTAGCTGAGGTAGTGGATGCACCAACTCATTCAGGTGAATCATTCGCCGAGCTTTCATACGGACAGTCAATTGGACAAGGAGATTAAGGAGGCTCTCATCTGGGACACTCTGAAGCTAGCCAATTTTGAAGCAGTTGATAGGAAGAAGTGTATCGAGGAGGACAAACGGCGCATTCGACAACGATTGTTGAGACGGAACTTTGGGAAGGCCTCCCGGTCAGTTTCAACGCTGCTGTCCATTATGAATACAAATTCAATTAATAGTGGTTTAAGTGAATTTCAAAGTCAAACTGGCGCTATAATTTCTATAGTGTAATCATGTTCCAACTTATTATTCAACTAAAAAGTTCTATGAAAAACAATCTCAGCTCCTTGAAAAGTGTTTAAAGGACTTGCTTTAGTTGTTCAGCACTCTAATGCTTCTGTAGTAGATAATGTTTGGTCTGTTAAATTGCTGGCACTAATAAATTGCAGAAAAAAGTATCTGCACACTAGAACAAAGTAGTGAATGTTATGTTTACCTCATTTTTGAAAATTTTCCCTAGGGAAGACGTGAATGCGGAAATGGAGAGGTGGGCCGCCAAAGCTCTAGAGTACGAGAATGAGCACTTGGGGAACTTTCGTCGAATCTACCCCTCCAAAAACAACGAACAGTATGAAAAATTTATCAACAGCACTACCACTCTCTTCACCGAGACTGCTACCTTCAAGGCACGCATGCAACACTCCAGGTAATAGCAAAACAAGAATTCATCCAAATCCACTCCATTTCGTACAGCTAAACTTGAACTTGAACTTATTCTGTCTGCTAATGTTAAAAACCAAGAGATTTCCATATTACTATTTTCATCGCTCCCGAATCTTTGGAAAATGGTTTTACTACTATCATTGCCACAGTTGACCGTTTTAAACTGCCAGTGCATATGTAATTGTATTTTTGGGTGATCTTTATGCTCTTGTAGACAGTTGCGCGAGGAGATTCGCGAACGAAGAGACAGGTTAGAATCCATTTTTAGGCCCCGACAAAATCGCTTGCGACCAGAGAGTCCGGGACGGACACTGACAGTGAGTGGGATACGTCGACGCACCTCGAAAAGCCGAGGGGGAACGTTGGGGGCCATGGAAAGGACACAAGGAGACCTTATGGGGTCCTCTCCGCGTGGTGAGTCGAGGAGAGATGTTTCGCCACAGCATCCGCAAGTGACACCGCCTCCACTCCTCAACTCCCTCAAGGCTACGCGCATTGACGAGGCGGAGGAGCACGAGCGCTGCCTAGCCATGGAGAAACGTGCTGTGTTACTCCGCAGTCTTGGAGTGGTAGATGCCGTATACAGACTCCTCTCCGGTAGTCCCGGCGTCGAGCCCTCCAGTGGGCTGCCTAAAAAGATGATCATCACAGAGCGCGAAAAAACACGCCAACAGTCATTGGCTAAGCCCATTGAGATTATACTTCCTCAGTTTCCAAATTCCTCAGCGAGTAGTAAGATTGCCTCTAAGTCTTATTCTACTTAATTCATTTTTGTTAACAAGTTAGCTGTCATTGTCAAATCCATGCAGCATCCCCTATTGGTGATGGGTAGTTGCACCAAACAGCGATGCAGTTCGACTTTTCCAACTTGTAAAATGAAAATAGGACGTTTGCGTTCTTGTGATTTTTTAGTTCAGCGTATTTGTCCCTTTTGGGAGTAACATTGGCTAATTTTCTTAAACTCCAATGGATGTGGTATTATATTGTAATAAATAGCTATTTTCTATCAAATTTACTACCCATTCTAGAAGGGCATCAGTGCAGCCGAAGTTGACTTTAGAGTCTACTTCCAATAGCAGATTTCCAACAAAACAAAGTAGCTCCCTAATATCATAGACCACTTATAGTATGATGCCATCTTTACAAGAAGCGTTAGTACTCCTCCTTTGTGAAAAGAAATAGTCAAGAGACGAATTCACAACATCTATAAGGCTGACCCATAAAGGAGGATAGCTCCGACTATTGTGCGCATGACCTCGGACGCTTGAGAACGGAGGTAAATGCAGATGGTCAATAGAAACAGTTTCATTGAATGTTAGTTTATTTTTATTATTATTTTGAATACATGCATACAGACGAGCACTCTCAACATCTTATTCCATTGTCTACAAATTTGCGAATAGATGTACAATCCTCAAGGGAAAATCGGAAACCTGGACTGCGTCTGAGGGTTGTAAGTTTTTTCTATTAATTTTTAAGAGTTAATCGCATTCACGCGTTAAGCTAGTTTTCTTTCCAATCTATTAGAAAATATATATTGTGCCATGGCTATATTTTGCTGATTTGTGCCATAGGTAAGTGACGGCCGGACCAGAGCCTGCAGGCTAAGTGGCTTCGAATTTCTCATTCGCCTTGACGCCTTTTTGTCGTGCGAGGTGCCCAAAATCGTGCTGTACCTTTATCTACACATAACACTACTCGAACTAATCTTGTGACAACTGAAGTACTGAGACACATTTTGGGCAAAGTGGTGATTATTTTTGTGAAATTTAACAAACGCGACACAGTAAAGAAACACCCAAATTTTCGACCAACAAGTGGAGTTCCACAAGCATTCACAATCGCACTGTTAGCAAATTTTCAAGAGCTTACGTTTTGCCTGTATTTTTGGAGTCTATGGTTAGAATAGTTTGGTATCTATTGCCGAGCCCCTTCTTAGATGTACTTTCACCATTGGATTCAAGATATTCGCTTTTCTAAATGGTGGTCTGGATGCTTAACACTATGTCGCTTTAAAATGAATTGCCTAATCGGATTTTGAACTTCGGACATTTCAACTACATCATCTGGAAGTGTTTTGTGCTGAAATTGTAAAAGCAACGCCATCTGTCTCGTAAAGCCTGTAGAAGCATATCCCGCTTTGGTATATTTCTTGTATAGAACCGTCCACATTACCGTTTAGCGACAATCGAACAATTCGCGCTCTAATGTTCCAAGCAAACCAATGCGTCGTGCCATTCCCATCAGCTTGAGCGAGCTAGTGATGCCACGTAACCTTCCAATTCTGGGGAAGGGTTGCGTACATCCAAAGTTGGAGCGCGAGTGCCTATTAGAGGTTCAGGAAAGCGCCGAGGATCACCTTGATACCCTACCTCCAGGGGTAGCGCTCTCCTCTCTCGGCCTGCACCTCCGCGATGCACTCTACCCTCTGCCATCCCATACATCTCAGTTACCATTGCGACCGCCATCATCATTCTCCATGCTCTCTGGGGAACCAGCAGTGGGGGCGCGAATGCGCAACACTACTCGCTGTGAGGTAACGCACCCCGGTGTCGCACGTTCCTCCGTTGTATCTGCTGCCGCCTCCTCTGCCCTCACTCAGTGGACCAAACAATCCCGACCTGGAGCCTTCTTTCCCTACGGCGCCACACAGTCGCAACATCAAGCCTTCTTCTCTGTCAACAGTCAAAACTCACCCGTATTCGGAGAAGGCCTGTGCTTGAATGGAGGTGACAAAGTTTATTCGAATTTCTATTGCGATACAAATGTTTATACAATTGTACTATCATTAGTACCTACAGTTCCGAATGGTGCGTTGTCGTCTATTCGATATAAAGTTCGTCAAAAAATTGAGTTATAGGTTACAAGGAAATGCTGCAATATTATGCGATATTCGTCTATTTTAGCAATTAATAACTTTTAGGCGATTATTTTAATCCTTTGCACTATTTTTGTAAAGCTGATCAAATTAACGATTTTACCTAGATTACCGTTTACTTCCATTATGCAGGGTAGGTTATCACAGTAAGTAATCTTTACGTAAATCCGTTACTCAAACAGTTTAATGTTGGTTGACAGTTTTTAAGATAGTTTAATCCAATGCACTGCAAAATAGATTGAGGTGAGGTTCTTGCATTTAGAGTTTTCAGCTGTGAGACCTCAGGCGGGCCGATCTGTGTTTGACATGCCCATGCGTTGTGTTCCAGCCAAAAGCAGTGCGCTGCATGCACCCAACAGAAAACTGAAAAGTGCCGCGACTAGTCAACTCCTTCCACGTGATCAGAGTGCCAGTATCAAATCGATGTGAGAAACTCCTCAAAGGCACGAACGGCAGTTGCAAAAGTAGAAGTCAGCTACTTCTCAGCCTCCTCACCTACCCCCCCCATCCTTCCTCCTCAGTTTCCTCCAGTGTCAAACACTCACCTCCCACTTCTTCCTCTTCTTTTACATAGAAATTTTTTGGACTTCACACCAAAAACGCCAGCGTCAGTAAAATCAGATGACGACTGCTTGAAAAATGGCATTCTGCCATGCCGCTTATTCTTATTAAATGCTCACACTGGCTGCTACATTCTCACTTTCACTAAGCGCCTTACACAGAGGCGACGTTTGGATTGTTCAATCAATAACGTTTGATTTAATCATAGGAAAATAAATCCGTTTGTGTGGTCCCCAAACTCTTAGGATGGCGCTCTCTCGAGCAGGAATTAATTTCGAGGGTGCTCAACACTACCATGAGTGAAGAACTTGCCAATCATGCCTTGGCCTCCGTAAGGAAATTGGATGTGGTCAAGGCCGGCCTTTGCCTCCAATGGCAAAGGACACCTTGGCTCAGCCGGCATCTAAACAAAACTTGTGGTTGGCTTCTCCAGGTGTAAAGTAACTTCCAACAATGCGATACTTTGAGCATAATGGGTTCGAATTATGACATGCAAATTACTATGCACAAAGTCGCACGACAAAATTCATTAGAAATGCAGATTCAAGATTTCCCACTCCAATCCATCTCCACAAACCTCCGCTTAGTCATCTGCGGACATAATAAATTAAATTGAAGTTTGCGTAACCAAGAGGTCCCTTTGTAGTAAGATCGACTTTCGTAAAACGACTCTTTACCTCTCCCATTGCTTTTCTGTGAATATGTTTCAATGACAGAATTCTACCGCTTCTCAAGGATATGAAATTTGTGACGTAATGTTAATTTCCTTCTCAAAAATGACAAATTTGTTGCTGGCATCTCGATTGCATAGCCTATGAGCTCAATAAAATCGTATTGTTAGCAAAACTTCCGAAAAAAATATTGAAGATAGATGTGTGAACCTTTTGGTACCCTCAAATAGACATTTCAGCAGAGACAAATTTCAATGGTTGAAATTTTAAACACCTCCAGTTGTGTGTTAACAGCTCGCGGGATGACAGTCAACTTGTTCTCAACTACTTATCAGCGCACTCTTAATGTTGTACCTTGATGACACCGCTGCGCTTTAACACAAAAACCCAAGTTACAGTGAATGGTTTCATACACTGCGGCTTCAGCCACCGAAAAACGCGCGCACTTCATGACATTGAGCAACAATTTGGGAACCGAGTGATTTGACTGTGGAAATTAGCACGGCTCAAAATCCCCATCGGTAGACGAAAAGTCTGAGGAGAGTAAGAAAACGTTCTGACCGTAATTTGTATTCATACATCCGATTCCTCCTGAAGATCTCTTTGTAGACGAGCAAACAACTGCGTTACTACTCGTAGAAGAGTATCACTTCCAATTGAATGTGAAAAGTCTCCCTCAGACGAGGGTTTAGTCGATAACTGCGCCAAACCACGACGACATATCTGATCCAGCATAAAGGTGATTTTGTCCGCCTGTGGCGAAACCAAGGCCCACTCCTTGAGGGCTGAGCAGAGAAGTGTAGCAAACACCACGATACTTGTTGAGGTAGTAGATTCGTCTGTTACAAACACACCCGAGGCATTCTAAATTTTTAGTCAAACAAGAACTCTTATTTAGCGCGTTATACAATAAGATAATCAATAAGGTGTCCAAATTACCTCAAAATCACCACAGTGTTCCGTCTTTTCTTTGAGCTCTTCATTGAACCAATCAAGGAGGATACTTACCGCAGGATACTTAAACATGGAAATGAAATTAAATAGGAAAGCAGGCCGAATAACTGGTGGCAGTGGTTTCTGGGGCAGCTCATCAGATTTTGGTAGTATTTGAAAGGCCGTTGTGGAAGCTATCATCAACACTTCGTCATCAGCCTCCAAAAAAAGATTTCGCAAAACAGCCAGATTGATACGAATGTGACAGTGGACACCTGGATACAAAGAAAAGTGGATTATTCGAAGGCTATAATAACATAAAATGGTGCATTATTTGGAAGAACCTTACAAATTTTATTCTCGATATTCTGAGACATAAAGCGATCGACAGCTAGGAGGGCCTCAGCTCGAGTGCTCCAATAGGGACAGTGGTGTTTTGGATCTATGCATCTTGCAAGACAATCTAGCGCCTCCTCTTTATTCTGCGAGATCAACGCATAGACGGTCAACAGCGGTCCCAAGTGAACAGGGATTCCCTCATTCGAAGTGAAAAGCTGACGGCAATGCGCCAACAACTTATTGTGGGTTAATGGCTGATCTGAAGTTGAGGTAGTGGCTAGGTATGCAAGCAATTGCGACGCATGGAAACCGATCAGGGTATGGGGCCGGTGTGAACGATTGCCAAAAGCAATAATTGCATCAACGAGTAGCGAACTGTAAGCTGATAATTCCAAACGTTCACCATTTGGCTTAGTATGAAAAGGTGGGGCTGAAATTTCTGAAAGTAGGTTAACAGCATCCTCATACCACAGCAAACGCCAACATCGTGAAAAAAGAACATCATTGCCATTGAGACGCCTCACGAGCAATCCCAGAGTTATACGTTTCAACTAAAACATGTACGTAGGTGAAGTCGAGAAGCTCTACCTCTGGACTAGTACCATCAAATACATCCTTAACGATCCGTTGGAGAGAAGAGTGGCCGTCTTTAAATGCGCTACAAAGTTGCACCAGAAGCTCCATAGCGGATGAGTCAAGGGCACATGGTGCGGAAAGAGGGCGATATCGTTTTGGTTTGATGCTCGCCACCATAGCTGGAAGACCAAAGGACAAACCGCATGCCAAGCACGTTTGTTTTATGATTGGACAGAGATTGGTCGACGAGTCCATGCACACCGCGATCATATCAGAAAGTAAAGCAGATATTTCGCTTAAATATGCATGATGTGGACTGTTTTGCATCGCGTCAGCATCACCAATAGGGAAATATTCGCATTTGAGAATTTCTAAAAACTAAAAACAAAATACGACTCAAACAACAATGTCAAATACAAGATAGTGGACACACCGAATCTTAAGTTCAGTTACGAAAAATGAACTCCTCTGACCATAGTCACAATGAAATTCTAGAAAATACATATTTCACGGGTTCATACTTTACGATATAAGAAACGGTAGGTATTTTGCTTTTGGGTCAGTTTCGTCATAATTTTGAAACATTTAATGTTAGAAACAAGATTCTTTTAAGAATAACTGATGCATTCCCTTGAAATGTCCCGGAAAATTGAAGGATATGAGACTATTTGGTACAGCTCAAGAAGCCTGTAAGGTATCCTAAATCCGCGTTAACGCTTTAAATGAACTAACGCCAAAAGCCACATAGTAACTCATAGTAAGGAGAGAAGTGAGACGAACTTGAAGGAGCATTCCATGGACAAAGTTGGTTTGAAGGCAAGACGAGTGGGAAGTAAAGTAAGGAGAAACGATGAGGAGAATCTGACGTGCTACATATGATAGACGCGCGGGCTGCAGCACAGCAATCAGTGACCTGGCGGCAATCATGCGAATTCTAACATCCGCAGCTCCGGCGCACCTATCAGCAGAAGTGACAAAGAGCCAATTTGGCATCTGCATGCTAGCCGTAAATTAGAATCACCCAAACCTATGTAGACAGTTCCAGATAACAGCGCACCTGAAAACGAGGGGCACAAATGCCTGCACCATGACACCATTCGCTGTCGCTTGCTGTATGGGGGGAAGAAGTCGTTTCAAGAAGTTGAGAAGAGCAAACAACTTTGCTCTACCAATCGATGGTGAACTGAAATGTACAATGTTAAGGAAACCCATTCTAATCATTGCACCTTTTAATGGATGTTAGACGGATTGGTAAAGGTGAACTACTAAAGTTTAAATGAAAAGAAAATCGACAGCAGAGGTATTTTTTCAAATCCGGTCCCATATAAACAGGCGAGATAAAATTTGAAAAATTCTCAATTACCTGAAGGCGGAGAAACAGTTTTGATACGACTAAATTCAAGACCACAATTACCCTCCATAGGACAAGAAAACTTCCAAGCGAAAAATTACATTCCAAACATTTAAAACGTATAAAATATGAATGAAAGCTCTTCTATTACCATGGAGACATTTCAAGATTATGCTTAACTTTTGCTCCTCCATATTAATTGGTCTGGACGGGTAAAGGAATCGATTCAAAAGTATTCGGTAAAAGAGCATCTAAATTTAAAAATTGAAAAGTAGGTCTTAAGAGCTTAAAACTGTTTAGAAAATCCAAACAAAAAATCCAGTGTTGAGAAAAAGGTAGACATCGCTTTTGCCTGTAATCGGTAAAAGCAGATAGATTATTAAAAACGAGACACTTTGTATATGAAAAGTGCATTACTAGAGTCCGCCAATCGCTTTTTCAAAAGACTTTAGCATGAAGTCGCGCATTCCAGGAAATTTGGCAAAGAAGACAGAGGAGGCCATTCTAAAGTCGAAAAAAACGGCTTTTAAGGAATCCAATGCGTGAAAATTCTTTAACAATGTACAGATTTTTGAAAATAACTCAACTGACCGATTTTTATTGCTTTCACAATCCCGCGTCCGATTGACGCCGAAAATGCGTTCCATTAGAGCACTGTAGAGCATGAGCGCCGCATTGCGTATCTATGGCGGGCAGGAATCAACAATATCGTACTGAGGCAGCCAGGAGAGTAATGCTAACTGGCTGATACTAAAGAAAGCAGCCTCATGCTTTCTGCTAAACACCAACGCAAGAAAATTCAAATTCCAAAGCATATATGAGAAAAAACGATGAATTCTAATTCGTTTATGAGGAAGGATGCTTTTAGGAGAAGGAGCTGCCGCTTCATGCCAAACAATTTGAAAGGTAAGACATTTAAATTCAATTCTGCTGGTGAGGAGCACATGCAGAGGAAATACAGAAGTCAGATAAATAAGAACCAATGCGGTGCTAGGGCAAAATAGTGTTTAGTTCTTAAAATAATGGTGTGTTTTATCATCCATGAATTTCCAATAAAGTTTGCACTGTATTGACCAGTTCAAAGAGCTCGTCACCCTTAAGGTAATTAGAACACAAAACTTGCTAATAACCAAACCAAAAGGTGGTTATAAGCCTCTGCTAAACTAGTATTAATTATGTCGCAGCCAAAGCGCGATGAAAAGCCCAGTGGGGGTAACTCAAAGGAAGTGGATAGTCTCACCATCCAGAGAGAAGAGTCAAGACCTTCGAAGGTGCAAACCAGAATGGCCTCGAGATGGATTTTCAGTAAAGGTCCGATTGTGGCATCTCGAACCAACGCTCGCAGCACATTTATGACATGTAGACGACGCTAATGAAAAAGAAGGATATCATGTGAAGAAATCCTGGTGGAAGGTAATAAAACCTGTGTGTGTTAGGAAATGAACGAAGAGGAATGAGTGAGGAACGCTCACCTCGACGACTGGGAGCCTTATCCGAGCCTTGCAGTCCGACGGAACCGTTGTAGCCTCTGTTTCTCCATTTAACTCAGCAAGGAGGGCTCTGACCGTTCGATTCAGCAGAACACTCAGTTGACTAGTCTTATGAAGGGCCACCAACAACGTCTACAAACGCATTTGAGAGCAGGTTGAAAAGCAGCAAATATTTCTAGCAAAAAACTCCGAAACCCAACGGCTGGTGTAAAACCAATGCTCTTAGGATGATTACGCTTATGAAATCAAGAGGACACTTACGGCTAAGAAGCATAGACGGTTTAAGCTATAACTGTAAAAGTTTACCAAAGTTTGAAATAAGGATGAAGAAGAGGGAAATAAAATTAAGCAGGCATGACGTAATTCCCTAGCCAGCTTAAGCAATGCAAAGAAAAATCTGGAAAGTTAATGCGGCATAAGTTGCGAAATGCTGTTTTATAGCATTGGAAACTACAACGTAAGCCGTGATCGTATTAAATGTATCCCCAACTATGAAGTTCAGATGGATCAAGCTATGAAGATAGAGAGTAAATTTGAAAACAACTCAATTGATGAAAGCATTTGACTACCGATAGTAAAGACATTTGATTACTGTTACAAAACGCAAGATCTCAATTAATTTGAGAGAATTCCATGAGAAGATACGTTTGCAGAATAGAAGACAGTAAAATAACTTCACAAAACGTGGAGGCATTTTGCAAACAGGCGATATTTACGTATTCAAATACTACGGTTGCTAACGCTACTTTGTTACTGTAGCGGCATTCGCGTTACCTGTACGAAAAAGGGAAGACCAGCAGAGCGACGTGTAGAGCAGTAAGTGTAGTCCTGCAGGTACTTCAGCGGAAGGCGACCTATCTGTGAGGCGACGGGGCGGATGACGGTGCTCGTCAGATCAGCTATCACCACGCTCAACCACTGCTCCGGCCACTGGCAGACATCTTGGCAGTGCCGTACCCTGGAGAAGGATTAAAACGACTATTGGGTTCGGGGAAGACGGTGCAAGCATGAGGCACGCACCTGAGAAGAATTTCACAGAAGGACTGGAATCCTGAGGCTGTTAATTCAAAAGCGCCAGGATGCCTGGAGCGTATCAACTGGCTGATAAAAAAGTCTGCCATAAGCTCGAGCTGCAAAAAATAAACCATTATAAGCATATAAAATACATATATTTAGCCGAGTATCTAGTGCACGTGCAAAATATAGACCAAAGCGGTCACTTTACATTAGGCATCTGAATTCAGTCATACCTTCCTTTTGCCTTAGGTTGTTCATCAAAAGTTGTGCCAAAGCAAAACAAAGATGAATCCAACATTTCAATCAGGTCAAATATGTAAGAGGGAATCGAGTAGTTTCTAGTCTATAAGCGACAACCTATCTTCAAATGTTAATTAGAGCAAAAAACTGAGATACTACGAGAGTAAACCAAAGACCAAAAGATCTACTGTAGCGGACTATTTAGAGGAGCTCGCCTGAGCAAAGTTAAGTTGGGATGATGAAGGATCGGAGAGGAGAGCATCGCGAGTGAGGCGTCCGCCCAGAAGGAGGGCGACCTCTCGCACCGAGCGCCAGCAGTTAACCACCAGATGCTCTGGTCGTTTTACTGCCCGACGTAGCACATACGCCGACTCCGCGTCGGCGACCGAGTAGTTCATTAAAGCAATTGACTCCTTATTCCATAGATCTTCATTGCCTGCTCCGCTCGGTATGACCTCAGATTGGAATGAAAGAAAAAAATCAAGTAGTCTTCTATTTGCGAATGCCTTCAGTTCATGCTTACGAAGTGCTATCCAAGGAGCATTATTGTGATTTATGAAATGGATAACTTGATACATCCGAATTCACTTCAGCATAGAGTTGGAACAATTCGAGTCCGGTTAGTTAAATGTGAAATTCACAAATAGTATGTAATCAGCATTCTAAGCCAATTGATATTCAGTCATTTTCGGCTTGAGAAGGCAAGACTAAACTAAACTCGGATAAACGATTAGCAGCAGGCATATCTTCAAAGTAAACATAATGTAATTCTTAAAGATACCTTAGCATTCCGTCCAACCTCATCGAGCAAAATTAGAACTCCTTCCGGAGAGGAGTGGAACACTACGAAGGAGCAGATACGAGCAATACGCATAGCAACGTCCAAGAGACGATTGCAAATAGAGTCCTTCGATAAGGAGACGGGCAAAGACTCAGGTGGGGGATTTTCGAATAACCACCTGGAGAAGGACAGAATAAACTGGGCCAACACGTATTATTGTGATCCAGGCGTTACTTTCGAAGAAACAATCATTATAGTAATAGTAATCGTAAAGCCTTCAAAAACATTTAAGGCAGTTCATAAAAGAATCTAGGGTACCATAAGATCCGAGCAACTCGTTTGCGGCAGTGGTCGTTGGTACTCCAATGACTAAGATTTTTCGGTTAAAGTAATTGCTTAAGTAATG